AAAAAAAGCCTGACATCTTGGTTAAATCGAGTGTTCAGCTCTTGCTGCCTGTAAACTTGCCAGCTTTTGAAATCTGCTTCAGTGTCTTTAACATTAGTTTGATCTGCAGCCATCAGCAGATCTTAATGATAGTCTCCATGCTGTGTAAAGCCTTGCCACATTACTGTTGATCAAGTTGCTCTTAAAGGCATCTGAGAAGTCTCTTTTTTGACTTACCAATGGCTATGGAATGGCTTACAGTTGTTCCCCAGCTTTGCTGTGTGCCTCTTTTCCTGTACCTTGCAATTTGTTATTATAGGCACAAAGACAAAGACAATCTCCAGGTAGGAAGCAAGCAGGACTTGGCAGCCATCTGTACCATTGAACCATGAGACATCCATGGAAAGCAACTCAGTGGAATCTTCTCCAAAGGCATCAGGTTCTGGAACTGCTTGGCCTTTCACCGTGTTAGAAAAATCTCAAAAGCATTGCCTAGCAACCAGGTAGAGTGCATTTATGATGCCGGATGAATCCATATTGAAGTCCCATGGTGAGCAGCGGAAAGAACCATAGAGTCAAGTCCATGTATTTGAGGCCTTCTATGTATGAGTAAGATGAAATAATGCAATTGCACAAGAAATCAGAAAAATCTAGCCTCAAAATGAAGAGGAGATGGTAAGCTGACTCCCATCCAGACTCCAACTAGAGGACCATTTTGTCTCCTTGCAAGCCAACTGATGGCTTCCAGGTCAACAAAGATGCCAGATGACTTCAGTATATATTATCTTCTGTGAGTTTCTGTTTTAAATTAGTATGGGCTGAAGATGAGGTCAGGGCGGTGGTGGAGCAACCCCTGCATTTCTTTGGTTTCCTTGGGAATTTGGCCTTGTGGGATCCGCAGGTAGTGAATGTATAAAAATATTTGACATTTTTGAATAAGGAACTTTGCTTGGATATAATTTTTCACTTGATAGAGCTGGGAAGACTGTGAAGTAGAGTGAACATGTGTCACACTCTTTCTACACCTTGTGATTTAGTCCTTGTATAGTTAATCAAAAGTTACTGTAAAAAGCAAAACTGGTAATGCTGATGTTAGGAAGATAGTGGATAAAAACAGTCATGATTATTTTACAACTAAACCACAATGCTCTGGTTCAGTTGGTATAAGAAGCTGTTACAAGGGAAGGCACACTTTCATAGATCTCTCAAGCATAGCAATGCAAGAGTTCCATTTGACCTCTCTCTTGAAAATTCCCCGATGCATTCCTAGGCAATCCCTAGGTTCCTTCCTTGACTTTCCAAGACATCCCATCATAGGGACAGCCTTATTAAGTGGATTAAAGGTTCCGTGAAATCTGGTTTATCATCGTAGGTTAATCTTTGGTGGACTAAAGTACATGAATATTATTTGTTAGCAAGGAGCTAGATCTGAAACAGCCAGGGTGCTGTAGTAGTTTGAGTGTTGGGCTAGGACTCTGGTAGACCAGGATTTGAATCTCTAGTTAGCCCTGGAAACCCACTGGGTGACCTTGGCCAAGGCAATGGCAAACCTCTGAAAAACCCTAGGATAGGATTGCCATAAGTTGGAGTCCTTGAATGCACACAGCAACAACAATGCTAGACCTTAGATAACTAGCATACATCCAAGACTATTTTGCTAAGCTTGACAAGATGAGAAATTTTGGTGTGACTATGAATTCTAGGGCATATTTTCAGTTTATGAGGTCAGCTAGCCATGCCAGAAGGAATACAAACACCAAGTTTCCTTGCTAGTGTTGATATTTTACAGATAGCCTTGAAACTGTGGCACCCCAAAATCAGCCTATGGTGCTTCTAGGTTTGATCCCACTCTGGCTACCTCTGTCATTCCATTATACTGTAGGATGGGCTATGAATTAGAGAGAGAGAGAGAGAGAGAGAGAGAGAGAGATCACAAAAAGATATCCAAAGCCATATTAAACTATTTAGATGAAATAGATTGTGATAAATAAAGCCTGTTAATTTAATAGGTATATGTGTTTTACTAGGGATGCAGTGGCTCAAGTGGTTGAGACGCTGACTCTGTTTATTGCAAGATTGGCAGGTTGGCATTTCAAGGCCCGTGTGCTGCATGATGGAGTGAGCTCCCATCACTAGTCCCAGCTTCTGCCAGCCTAGCAGTTCGAAAGCATTCAAATGCAAGTAGATAAATAGGTACCACTTCGGTGGGAAGGTAAAAACGTTCAGTGCAGTCATGCTGGCCCCATGATCACAGAGTAGTCTCTGACAATGCTGGCTTTTTGGCTTAAAAATGGAAATGAGCACCACCCCAAATGGTTGGACACAACTTGACAACCTTGTCAATGGGGAATACCTTTACACTTTTTACACGTGTTTTTAGGCTGGTGTGACTTTGATATATTGATTTAAAATGTGACTACCGCATATTGAACACTTGATGGGATTGAGTCTGTCACTTTTCATAGAAGATATGTTGCCATGTGTGAGTCAGAATTAAAACGCAGCCCATCTGCCATGTTAAAGGAAGTGGATGGATCATGCAGATGGAGCATTCATACATATAGCCTGCCTGCTCCTACTGCAGGCTTGCCATCCATGGATTTGAGCAGCCACAGATGCCAAGCCCCATGGTCCTAATGGTGGTGTGTGTGTGCAGCTGTCGTGTGTGCACCACCATTAAAAACCACATAAGTTGAGATCCTGTAGTTTTTGGCATCAGTGGGGGGAGAGTCCAGAATTGAACCCCTTGTGGATACTAAAGGCTTACTGTACAGTCACCCTGAGCAGAGATGCTTTAAGCATGATGACCAAGAGGTTGCTCCAGGGTCTTAACCCCCTGGTGGGACTCTGTACAAACCAGCCCACAGAGAAAAAGTTGGCCAGTTGTTCTCACACATCCTTCATATAATTCAGCCTGGGCCTCAGAACAGAGTTTGGAAAAATGATTTAGCTTCACTACACCTCTTCTAATGTCCCAGCCAATACGGCTACTGGAATCTTGGAGCTGTAGTCCAAAGAGGTACCTTTTCCTACTTCTGCGTATGTATGATCTCAATGGTATGAATGAGCCCACGAGTCAGATACTCACATACATAAATAAATGTATGTAAAATTCAGTCTATGGCCAAGATCCTATATGGTTGCCTGTAGTATAAGAGTTCTGCACATGGAACTCTGCTATGGCTCTCCATCACCAGCCAAGATTTCACCATGTTGCTACAATAGCCATTCTGTGGATGATAGAAGGGGGGGGGGTCACACTGAAGATATCTTCCACTGATGATCTCATTGGTTTGCACCTGTT